TTTCCTATTGAAAGCTTTGCATGTTAGAAGTAAGACGTTAGATTATATTCTGAATTTGACAATAGACTAAATTGACTAACAGAGATGAGCTACAACTGGAGACATTTTATTTCTACTTCTACATTGCATCATAATTCTAGCAGCAGCATTTTTAGATCAAGTGAAGGTTTTTCAAATAGTTTTTGGACATCTAGATAATACAGAGTTTTAATCATCTAGAAGTTATAAGTGTATGACATTTTTAATGTGGAGATTAAATGACAAATCTTGATGAAAAATAACACCAAGTTTTTTACATTAAAACTGGAGGCCAATTTAATGCCATATAGAAGAAGTGAAAGGCTGCAAGGTTTGTTCCTGAGATGCTCAGGATTTAAAAAATTCTGTCTGTGTCATGATTTGTGCTTTACAAAAAAATAATTTTTTGAGAATATCATTGGGATTTTTTTTTGGAAAATGTTGTTTATTTCCTGTTGTTTCTTTGTGTCACCATTCACTCCTGCTCTCCAGTGAGTCCTGCCCCACCCACTCACACTGGTTTCTTGTCTCACCTGCCACCACTTGCCTAACCAGTTTGATCACCTGGACTAAGTGGTTAGAGCAGTCTTCTTTCTAGATAGTTCACTGTGGCGACCCCTGAAGAAAGGAGCAGCCGAAAGAAGGAAAAATAAACTTTTAAGCACTAAGTCCTGAGGAACTAACTCATCTTGAATACTTTGAGTGTATAAAGTTTATTTACTGATATAGATCAAATATGGACCTGGTTAATAATAAATAACTGTTTTGCTGCTAAAGTAAAACATGTTATCTACAAGAAAAAAGAAAAGCCAATGCATGCAAACTATCCCTGACTCTAGTGGTAGAAGTTCTAGAGTCAGCATAACTGTGTGTTAATGAGATGAACATTATGGCTGAAGAGTTTGATGAAGTCCCATGCTATATAACATGCTATTGAACATCAGCACAAACATGAACATGAGTCTGTGAGCGGATGTGCACGCATGAACACATCAACATTGAAACAGATCAGCAGCAACATGAAACAGATCAGCAGCAACATGATATGGTTTTTCACAGTGATTATTCTAGTTACCTCAGGGTAGAAGCTGTTCCTCAGTCTAGTGGTTCTACACTTAAGGCTTCTCAACCTCCTTCCTGAGGGGAGTGGGGTAAAAAGTGTGTGTGCTGGGTGAGTGAGGTCCTTCATGATGCAGGTGGCTCTCTTCCTGCATCTGGAGGTGTAGATGTCTGTGATGGTGGGGAGACTGACTCCGACAAACTTCTGTGCAGCCTTCACCACTCTCTGCAAAGCTTTTCTTTCTGCAGCTGTGCAGCCTCCATGCCACACGTTGATGCTCGAGCACAGGATGCTCTCCACTGCACACCTGTAGAAGGAGGTGAGGACTGAGCTTCCCAGACCAGCT